TTTTGCAAGAATGTTTAAAAGATATGATCCATTTTCCTCTAGAATTTGGAATTACCTCACAGTTCAATGGTACTTCATACGGATCATCAATACCGGTAAAGCCTACAAAATATGAGATTTCGTTCAGTCGATCGACAAGTTATGAACTTCGAGCCAATATTTAAGATCATCAGTTAAATCTAAGGAAGATGATAACAAGTTTCAGTGACCTTTGATCTTCCCCGCCCGTGCAAGCTTATACAGTCCTTTTGCATCTCTTGCTTCACAAACTTCAAGAGAAACATCCATGAACACCTATATATTTTTGGCACATTTTTGTCATGCAAGGTAAAATAGAAGCCTGTTCAAAATCCTTGGTATGCATAAATGAAGAACAACCTCAATAAAATATCCATCAGGCAAAATGGCACGACAAGCATCTCGATCCCTTCGATATGGAGATATCAAACTAGCAATGCAAATAACTCCGGCATCGGCAAACAGTTTTGCAACCTCACCTAATTTACAGAAGAGATATACTTAGCAATCATGAACAGCTCAATCCAAACCGTTGTAAATAAACCGAACTTCCCAAGCAAAACTCACCGATCCTCCGTATGTTCTCGGCACGATCTTCCGCTTTAAAACCAAGGTCGCGGTTCAAGCCATGCCTGACATTATCCCCATCAAGGATATAAGCCAACTTCCCCATTTTGTATAAGATTTGATTCAAGGCACAGGCCACACAGCTCTTCCCTGCAAGTTAGCTAAGCATATTTAGACAAATTGGGTCAGCTCCAAAGAGTTCCAAACCCAACTTAGCCAACATTTTTGCTATCCATTTGACATAATCTTTTAAAAGATGACCAGAAAAAATCAAACTCAAACATCTCATAGTTAGGTTTGATCAATTATCCAAGTTTACAACGAAAGAATCGTGTCAGTTAACCGATGCATACACGAACTCGACCGATTTCATTTGAAGATAATCTAAACAACAGGTTAATTGATCATAGCTAAGGCTAAATTGGCAAACCTGAGCCACTGAGACCTGTGATCCAAATGACACATCCTTTCTGTTCTAGTAGGCTCTGTCTTTCAATCTTTCCAACAGAACATTCATGCCATTTGATGTTAGTAGAATTTCCAACGGTGGACAACACGCCAAGATTTTTGCCTGATTGATAAGCATTTTGTTAATCTGGACAGCTTAAACTCAGACCATGAAGAACAACATTCGACACCACTAATATCAAAACACATCAAAATAGAAGCAATACCAGAGTTCCTAGCATGTCCATTGCTCAAGGTAGCATCGAAATCAGTCTCACAATCACTCTTAACCAAACCATCGACCTTCCGATTGACAATCGCCGCCCTCGAACCCGTCTTCTCAACCTCATCCAGCAAAGCCACTGTCGATCTAAAGCTAATCCTATTCTGAAACCTCGCGAACCCAATCGCCGGCGGCGAAAAGGACTGGCGGTGAAGCGACGGCGCTACGAAACGCGGCAACGAAATTCCCCCAATCGCAACCATATCTCACGCACATCTCAATAGGAAAACACTATCGAATCAATAATAAATAGAGAAACGAAAAAATAAGAACCAAATGAGGAAATCGAGGGGAAATGGGAAGCCATTATTGGTCGAATGGCGGAGAGTCTATCCTGTTCTTTTCCGCCATAACAATTAATGACCGGTGAAGAAAAAAAATAGAATCACGAGCCCTTTTGGCAACGACCCCTCGCGTTTTGAACCTTTGATCTTGATTATTCTTCTTCCCGGAAATTTATGAATTGTAGAAGAAGAATGCGGAGCCGGAGCGTGCGGAACAGCGAGCCGTCCGGCGAAGAAGAAGCGAACGACGCCGTTTAAGACCCGACGGTGTAATAACGCAATAAGTTGTCGTTGGAAGGACCCGACACGACGACGAAAATTTAAAAATTATTAAATTATAATATATATATATATATAATCTGAGTCTTGAGGCTGCCCTAAAAAGTATTTATTTAATTTTTTAAAATATTTATAGGAATATTACGAATTGCTATTTAATTTGGTACGCACGTATTGTTTGAGGAATAATAAACATTATGATAAAATTCCATTTTAAAAAATTTAAAGTATTTATTTTAGTTTTTAATTATTTTTATTAATTTTATTTTGGGCTACGATACTCGGTATAGGTCTTCTTCACGTGGTTCGAGTATTTATCTTGATTTAAATAATTTTAGATAACAAAAAATAAGGAAGTAGAAAATAAATATGAACTTATCCACTAAATATTATATATATAAAAAAAATTCATCGGTTAGACTAAAGTAGAACCACTTTATTGACCATTTAAAGAATAATTTTAATATGGCAAGTATTTAAAATAAAATTATTATTTTTATTATTATTAAAAATGCTTTTTAGAATAAAGAAAAAAAGTTTAAATTTGATTCCCTTTGATTTTGTGTCATTAATATTTTTACTTTAATTGAGTCACGTCACATGAATAATTATATTTAAATTATTTAAATTATCTAATTTATTGTATAAAAAATATCATTATTCTTATGACATCGAATAAAAGAGGGATACATGAATGAACTAAGATCACATTCAAATGAGAACAATCTACGTGATAGAACGACTAATAAAAAAATTAAAAGTTAGTACCTATACCAACAAGATGCATAGTTTGTTCGTAACTTAATCAGAGGAACTTCAAAATTAAACGCGAGTTTGGGTGACTAGTGTTAGACAAACATGACTCTCCACATGGTAGGTATGATATTGTTCACTTTAAGCATAAAAGTCTCGTGGCTTTACTTTGGGCTTCCCCGAAAGGAAGCAGACCAATCCAATGGAAAGAGTATTCTTTGATTATAAACCTATGATCATTCCCTAAATTAGCTGATGTAGGACTTTCATCATCCAACACCTCCCCTCGAACAAAGTACGCCTCCCCTTAATCGAGGCTCGACTTCGTTTTCTTTTTGGAGTCAGTCATTTTTTACTATGCCTTCATGGAAGCTCTGACTCATTTTATTTTGGAGTCATTTGTTCGATATTTGAGGATTTACCAATCTATCGGCACAACTAAGTTTAGGGCATGACTTTGATAACATGTTAGACGAACACAACTCTCCACAATGGTACGATATTGTCCCATTTGAACATAAGCTCTCATGGCTTTGCTTTCGGCTTCTCCAAAAGGTCGGGAGAGAGTATTTTTTAACTATAAACACATGATTATTCCCTAAATTAGGGGATCGTCCAACAACCTGAACCTAATAACCCATGTTGGATGATGAAGATAGGAATAAGTAAAGTGACTACATAAAATTAAAAATAAATAAATAAATAATAAAAATAAATTATGGAGTTAGCTAAACACAGTCTATTGCACGGACTCCATGTCGACATGTCAATCACAGCCTTCAAACTCCCGCCATCAATGGAGCTCACAGTCCCAATTCCCCGAATCCCCCAAAATTTCTTCCCAATTCACAGAGCCCTAACTAAATTCCACGTCAATTCCTCATCCTCATCCAAAAGCCCTAATTTCCAATTACCGCTTCCATCAAAATCGCCCAAGCCACCGAAAACCCTAATCGCTCCAAGAGGCGAAGAATTTCCGACGATGGCGGAGATCGTGGCGGCCGGCGAGGCCCAGAATATAAGCCTCCGGCTGCAAACGTTGGGGCCGTTTTTCCGAATAACGGCGAAAAGTTTGGAATCGCAGCGAGAGATTGGGAAGGCCGAGGGATTGATAAGAGTGTGGTTGCGAGGGAGGATTCTTCACCTGGATTCAATTCGATTGAAGCGAGAGAGCTTGGGAATGGAGAAATCGATCTTTGGACTCGGATTGTTCATCGGCGCTGTTGCGATTCGGTATGGGTATGACTGTGGGTGCAAGACGGCGGAGTTATTGGCCATCAATGACTCCGATCTTTACCATTCTAAGGTTGTTTTTTCTCTCTCATTTTTTACCTTTTTTCTGGATAGAATTTGTCAGTAATTTAAAACATAACTAAAATTGACATTACAGTTTTTATATAAAATTGATATTTTGAGACGAAACTAATATTAAAGTTAAAAAATATTTTTTTTAATAAAATTCTAAAGGATTGGGGCAGATTATAATATTTTTTAAATTTATTTCTATTTTTTATTTCAATTAAAATAACTCGACGTAATCCAATCCTACCCATTATTCCAATTATTTATTTTAATTTTTTTTAGTAATAAATTTTTATTTTACTAAAGTGAAATGTTTTAATTTTTAAATATTTAATTAAAATTTGGGAGTAAAAAATCATATTTTTAATAATAATTTGAGTATGTTCGTTAATCTACCTTTACAGAAAAGAAATTAATGAACTGCAATTTAATTGATAAAATTTTTCATTAATTTGACCTTAATTTTTTATTTTATTTTATGTTTTTATTTTTATCATCAACTCTTTTACATGTCATATTTTATATATTTTGAATGAAAAGAAATGTATCGAGGTTTAATATTGGCTACGTGTTTGGCAGCTCGTTAGATTCTACACAAGGATCGGGTTCAAGAGTGTGTATGAAGTGAGTGGTTCGAAGATAGGAGACATTGGGGACATGTTGGTGTGGGGAGGGGTTGGGACTAGAATGGATGCTCCCATTGAAGCCCTTCTACTTAAATGGTGTTCACGGTTCAAATCCCGGTCGTCCTAACCCACTAAACTTCCTTTGATGATGTACAACGTATCGTACACTTAGTTCGAGCTTATATTGAGAAAAATGTATTTGTACGTTAATTCAATATATTTATTTAATGTAAATGACGGAAGTTAAAATATTTTTTCAGATTAAATATTTACATGGTTAATTTTTATATAATTTTAACCAAAGAAATTAGTATTTAAAATATTTAAAGAATTACATTAAAATTTTATTAATCTAACATTTATATTGAAAAAAGGGTTGAATTAAATAATAATTATGTAATTTGAATATAACTTATGAGAGTCAAATTTCCATATAATTATTAATTACATCCTTGATTAATAAATAATAAGTTTTCTTTTATTTATTTATTTTTCTGGTAGTTTGACACGTCACTTCACCTTCCCGCGAGATGAAGCCCTAACTTCCCACCCTCTGTTTTAGTGTTTTTCACTTTCTTTCATTTTTTTTCTTTGACACAGAGAACAAAACGGCGCGAAGCAAATGTCGCGTCGTGAAATTCGGGAATCCGATTCCAATCGTCATCGTTCCAGATTCGATGGAGAACCCAGGTACCTTACCTCTCTTTGTCTGATTGTATTTCCATTTCTCTTAAGTTCATTGACTTTTGTTCGGTTTAAATGGTTTGTCTTTGTGTTAGCTTCCATTAAGGTTCCGGAATTTCCATAATTTTGCCCCAGTATGCTAGAGTGTCGGCGTGTGTGAAGTTTGTTGATGATGTTTGCTTTGATGTTGTCGTATTTCAAGCTTCAAGTTACGTAGAACATGTATTTTGATTGTTACCAAAGAAATGATTCGACAATTGCTTTTGCAATGCGCAGTCTAGTACTGCTTATGTCTATTAGTTCTAGTTTCAGATTAGTTCATGGTTATTGATGGCTACTCAGTACCACGCCATTGTTATCAGCCCTGCATTATGCCAATTCAATTTCCTCTAGTTCCAAAACGCTCTAAACAAATATTAATTTTCACTTTTTTGCATAGTCAAAAGTGAGGGATGTGAAGAGAAATGCATTACCATATTTGGATATTGCAGCAATAAGATGGCTTCATTCTTTTCCTTCCAATTGAATCAAAACAATACTGAGATAGAACAAGCGATTAATGTGTTTTAAGTATCGTGTTATACTTAATCATGGAACTCTAGTATGACATGAATATGTGGCTTATTGTTACTAGTCCCAAGAGGTCAAGGAGGGACAGGAAAACATTAGAGGAGAAGTTATCTAGAAACTCTAGTTCTCATGTTGAAGATAATAAAGATCGGGATCAGAAACATGGGCTTCAACATGAGGGGCAAGATATGATACCCCATGAGTGTTCATCACCACTTGATTCTAAGCCAGAATATGGGGTTAGCAAAGGAGCAAACAGGAACAGTGATAGGAGGGATAGAGGGACAAAACATTCAGTGAATCCCACTGAAGTACCACGATCAAGATCTTATTTACAGGTTTGTGCTACATTAAAGATAGTTTTTCAATTAATTTTGATAATTTCTTCCTTAGTTTTTGAAAAATTAATATTAGTCTAGTTTGATTGTACTAAATTTCATGGTTTTATCTCAATAATTATTGGCAGCATCTTAAGGCTCAGCATTGATATGCTTTACCATTTTGTTGTCTGTCATCTCAATCCCAAGTCACCTCCCCCCCCCCCCCCCCCCCCCCCCCCCCCCCCCCCCCCCCCCCCCCCCCCCCCCCCCCCCCCCCCCCCCCCCCCCCCCCCCCCCCCCCCCCCCCCCCCCCCCCCCCCCCCCCCCCCCCCCCCCCCC